TCGTGAAAGCTATACGTCAACATAGGAAATGCCTCCGTGCTCAAGAGTGGCTCCTTTTCGTGAATTGACCCTCTCTCGCTACACTCCCTTCCGATACCACGCTATGACATTTGAATGTCAAAGCCTTGTACACACCTTGTGCAGAAATGCTGATCTTGATAATTACGGTACACTTTGAAAGTTTTCAATGACTGCTGTGAGAGCTGTTACTGTGTCAGTAATGAATGCAATGCCGCATTCCGTGCCGGTAGCCACGGAGGATTAGCACTAAGTGCCTCATGGCACCTCAAGACACTCTCCTCATGAGGTTCTGGACGCTGGACATGAAAAAGATGCGATTGAAAAGGACCGAATCATGCGTTCGCATTATCATGTAAGTTTTTAACATTCAGTAATGACACCAAGCTTTCTATTATCAATATCCCGGGGTATCTTAGGGGATGCATTTCCTGCCCCCCCAAAAAAACAATCAGCGAATAAGTGTCTGTATGTAGGCGTTCATGTATTTATACGAGGTTTGCATACATTTGCGTCTATGCATGTCTCCAGTATGCACGTGGGCATGTTTGAATGAATGCACTGTTGCACGTATGTAATGCATATCTGTATGTATAGATATAGGCATAGGGGTACCAATGCATGAATGCATGCATATGTTTAGATGTGCATGTATACATGGAAGCACGATGTGTTTATCCTGCTTGCTTATTTGATTGTACCAGTCATCCTTCCTCGATGCATGACCGGGACTAATTGTTCATACATCGATTTATGGAGCTACGGGCGAGTACCGCTCTGTATAAAGGGGACGTACTTCGGGTTCCATGCAAAGCGTAGAGGAGAAAGGTGGTGTAAAAATAATATTTCCTACTGTGGCAAGGATTGTGCCACGCATCCACGTTGTCAATGGTATGAACAGGATGCTGGCGTAGACCCCCTTTTGCTGGCCCCACCAGTGCCATTGCCGGCCCCCATTCTGTGGCCCATCACCCCGAAGTGAGATCTGCTCTACGTTAAATATTTACCATTTCAGCGTGCGCGCGATATGCCGGCAGATGAGAGCTGTCACGTGCACCAAAGACAACGGCGACCTGTGCGGTGACGAACGTTTCGGGCGATTGGGACCAAACCGTTGCGAAATGCGCACATTTTTTGGGTGCGTAGCGGTTACGGTGAGCCGGGGTTTGCACCAGTGTCATTTTCACGATCCCGGCTCGCTGGGTTTAGACGCCAGCGTGTTGTATTCGATGTTGCGTTGGTCTGCCCAACATGCGTCGCTTTCCCATGGCCTGCTAGCGTCGCTATAGGCCTGACCGTGTTGAACCGAGTAAGAAGTAAAAAAGAAGAAGTAAAATTCCAAATATAATTCCGAAAATTATAACATCGATCCTGACCTGCGACAAACACCATTGATTGATGCAGATCACGTGCGCTCTCGTCAAAAATTTCCTGACAGGATGTTTGACGAATATGTTTACACAGGTGCAATCTTAAGATGAGTTTTCTAACAAAAGTTTAAATTAAGACTAATGTTATCTAACTAGACATGGTCCTGGATGTCAATTCACGTCACCGAAATTACCTTCGTGAATAAAGTAAGACTTTACAAGGGCTATCGGAGGGTAGTTCGTCCGTCTCTTTAGACATTTCCAATCCAAAAGTACCGGAGAATAGACAGTGTCTAACGATATCTTCGTCTGAGTGAGTATTAGTGCAACAGTCAGTTTGAGAATATATTTTTTCTTTGTTGGGAATTTGGAAAATCCAACGCAAGACGTTCGGGCTACTTAAGTCATTTCAGGTACTTTTTGGACTATAAATTTTGATGTTGCTCGATGATGTTTGATGTTTGATGATATTGATAATGATGACGACGTGTAGGGGTTCTGGAATTTATAAAATTCGAACGCCATGAATCTGTTTTCTACTCTCTTTCTGCATTAGCCCTGTCATTACCGAACAATTTGCCAAGTGACACTGTCGAGGAGCATTTTATTGGCATCACCATTTACTCAACCTTTTGCACCACTCTGTTTCCGCTCTCCGTAACCTACCATCTGAGGTTTGTAAAAATGAATGCAACGGCACTTCAGTATAGTGCTTAAAGGTTTAACCATGATGCCACTATTCACAAATTTTGCTTGTGATAATGGCAGAAATAGACAATTTGTGCATGTTCCAGGGCCAGCTAACAAGATGACGCTCCAACTATGCTCCGCCTGATCATGAATATGGTGAGCATAACATGTCAATATGTGTACATATACATGAGACGTCAGTATGCGCACATACAGAATGGACAACTTCATCTTCCTGTTGTGAAATTTGACCAAGGCATTATTCCAAGCGCGACATGAAGCTCACACCATCATGGTTTGTCAACACTGATCATGCCTCAGCGCTGTTAGACATACAATCTCGAATAACACAATTGACGCAACATGGGTAGAGCTACGGTTTGGGTAATCCCATGGGTACCCGTATGAAATGAGTAACGCCATGAATCGGGAAAATATTGTGCGCCCTTAAGGACATGGCCATTTTGAGGAATGCTCCATGTCAGTGTCTGTCTTTTTAAACCCGCGAGCGTTTTGAAATCAGATCTTTGCGACATAATGGGCGTACAAATTTTTGCAAAAAATAGAAGATATTCCTGGCTGATTTGTTTGGATCGTCATGGTAGCATTTACATGACCTTTGAGTGATCCAGAACAAGAGGTAATTAAAGCCGTGAGTCTTTTTATTGTATCGTATTTTTTGTATCCGTAACCATGGGATCTTACGTCGTGAACGGGCGAAGAGCGGGATGGGCGGTGACATGGTTACGGGTGGTTAAGACTAATTAGGAGTGTTTGGCGGAGAGTGCAATCCACGCTCCACGGGTAACAGTTGGGTTGGACGCGCAAATCCAGCCCACGAAGGCCTCTGTCTGGAAGGAAAAGTGCACAACAACATGTAACCGCCGACCAGCCGCCAGTGACCTTGGAGCTCGTGCTCATCCCAGTGAGTGCGAACCGGCGGCGACCTTGGTGCGACCCAACAGAAACCGTGTCGAGGAAGTTGCTCAGAATGATGTTGTGGCGTTGTAAAGGCAAAAGGACCGCACGAGAAAGCAAACACACAAGCAAATGCTTTCGAGTGAAAGTGGAGAAAGGTATAGCACACTATTACCATCCGTTTCGGATCACTGTCTTCGCCATTTTTCTGTTTCGGTTGTAATATTTATTTCCCTTTAAAGTTCAGTGTAAGTCATAAGGAAGACGACAATATACAAGCATGTATGAATTATTCGACCACGACGTGGAGCGATGTACCGAATCCAATCCAAACGGCCGATAACAGTTGTTTGGATTGTTGGTAGTTCCACGCATGCGTGAGCCCGCGAAAAGCATGAGTCCCATGAATCGAGCACTCCGCACCGTGGTCTCTCCTGGGTGGAGCAAACGAGGCAGACGTTTCGCACGAGACGGGCGATGATATGTGTCCATGTCTGTTTGAGGGCAGCGTTGATTTGAAAGCTGTGTGCTTTCGTTCTGGTTTATTCCATTGTCTGTGAGGCAGTGATTTGAAATATTGATATGCGTAGATTTTAGTAAACATGATATAAGTGTAAGCACCAGATTTTCCTGTCTTTCGTGAAGGTTGTCGGAGCTGGCCGACGGTGTACGTGGATCCACCCCGCTCCTTACCCGGCCACAATCACAGTGTGGCCGGCGGATACATAGTAACGAGGGGAAGAATGTTGGCCCGTAGCACGACTAATCACCAAGTTCCTGGTTCTCATTCAGGGACGCAGGCACACTAGACTCCACAAAATATTACAATTACGCTTCTTATGGATACCTTATAGTCCACTACGTTACAACTGAAAACAGAGCGTGGTTGCATATGTGGCGGGTGAGTTATGTTGCGAACAATATGTTTCGTGGACATATATAGATATATATATATATATATATATATATATATATATATATATGATATATATAAATATATATAAATATATATAGATATGGTGGCGTGCGTGCTTGGCGTGCGTGGCGTGCGTGCGTGCGTGCGTGCGTGCGTGCGTGCGTGCGTGTGCGTGCGTGCGTGCGTGCGTGGTGTGTGTGTGTGTGTGTGTGTGTGTGTGTGTGTGTGTGTGTGTGTGTGTGTGTGTGTGTGTGTGTGTGTGTGTGTGTGTGTGTGTGTGTGTGTGTGTGCGTATGCGCACGGTCGCTCTATGAAATCTGGAATACGCCCACGTTTACAAAGCCTTTTTGCGCCTGTCGTACCAACAACCACGCCATTTTGAAAGAGACGGTGCCCCGCACGGCGCAGTGCAGCCTAATGTGCCAGCCTTCACACGAGGTTTTTGCCAGTGGCGTAATAGTGAGCAGCTTCTGATGTACCGGCTGTCACATCGGTATTTTTCAACGATGTAATAGAGTGCAGCGTCTGATGTACCGGCAGCCACATCAGTCCCTTGTCAACGGGGGAATAGTGTGCACCTTCTGATGTACTAACAGTCACTTCAGTCCTTTGGTCAACGATGCAATAGTTCGCTACTTCTGATGTACCAGCAGTGGCGTCAGTCGATTTCCGAACGGCGTCAAGTGCGCTGCTTCTGATGTGTAGGGCTGTCATAGCAGAACACGAGTCCTTAACACACGATGTTGCAGTGTGCTACGTTTGGTACAACAGCCGTAAAAGTGCAGAATATTGTGATGCCTAGTATTGCACGACGTACCAAAAATAAAGCTTGCGGTCAGCCGTTCAACGTAGTGGAGTCGCATGCAACGCTTAAGTTATTTCCTCCCCTGCTCGGTTATTTTCACAGCAATCCCCAATTGCACATATTCCGGGTCACGTCTGTGCATCAGCTCTCTTTCTCGCCTACGTAGTCGGCTGCCTGCATTTGTGAGGCAGTGTTAGATAAACGGCGTGGCCACCGCATCGCAGCTGTTATCCTTCAGTGCATATTGTCATTCATGTCAGCAGTCCGCACAGCATCGCCTTACCTTTTAGGCGCCTTCAGTGCACCCGCCGCCGCCACACATGTCAGCAGAAGCAACACCCGCACCGTCATACCGGCTCCTGGGAAGCCGCGCGACTGACGACTAACCCAACATGCACCTGTATCCATGAACCCAGCCAGCGGCTCTCCGAAACCGGCTTGTAACGCTACTGGCCCTGAGCGTGGGTGAGGGCGCCACCGTCGCCCAGCCGCGGTTCCAGGACACGTCCGAGCCTCGTGGAAGGCCGTGTGGTGGCGAGACGTGGAGCAGTTGACACGGAGGCCTGTTTTCACTGACACCCCTGTTGCCACCAGGATGCCAGAGGCGTTGCCGCCTGGCACACATGACTTCGTGCCCGTCCTGCCGCAGGTACCTCGATTTCTACGGCGCTGGGCGCGCCCTTGCGGGCGGTCTCCCGCGAGCTACCGGGGGGAGCGGGGAACCCATCCGGTTTATTTTACGGCGGTCAGCCAAGGTCATGATGAGCGCCAAAAGACCCCGCTTCCTCGAAGCCAGCTGTGCCTCGTTCAGCTGCAAGGCTATTGCGCCAGCAGGGCTGCTTTCACTCGAGCTGGGCTTCTTTTGAAGATGACACTTTCAGGTGCATAGTGGGACATGGTGTCCAGTGTGCCGTACGATCCTTGGTTGTGGCACGCAAGCGTGGTGTAGCTTACACGCAACAAATCAGCGAGGGGTTGGTAGGTATGATGCAGGTATGAAACGTCAGCCATGTTACGTTTTACATTGGCATGCATGTAAGTCCTGTCATTACCGGGAATGTTTCACTTTTGAAGATGCTGAAGTAAGCATCAGATGTCATGAAACAAGCTCATTTATAACCGTTGGCACACGTTTTAGTAGAGAGGACTACTCCAGAC